CTGGTTTTGATTTTGAATGGCATCTGTATATCATTTTTCTATTCTAATCTTCTATTAGACATTATTAAATGTTTATGCATACAGTTTTCTAATAGGATTTGCTAAATATATGACAGCAATAACCTGGTGGTTTCTCCTCTTCCTTTCGCAATGCTTTGGGATATCCTGAAGTTGTAAAAAAGCACTATATGAATGCAAGTTATTTTGTTTTTCTTTTTATATGGCAGCATTGTTGATCTTATTCTCATCTCTAACTTTGCATGTTAGTTTCTTAACTCCCACTTTACTAGAGTTGTCTCCAGAAAGCTCACTTTTTTCAATCACATTAAGACTTAACTACTGGTGCTACATTTTTGAAAGACATTAAATCCTGCTTGTGCTCTCAAATCTGATGCAAGCAAAAAACTTATCATACGGTAGTTATTCTTTTTACCATTAGCCCTATCTCATACAACCTTTGCCTTTCTTGTTCTCTCTGCTGCTCATATATAGCCTAAACTTTGCAGTGAAAATGGTGAGATTATCAGTGCTCACCATCTCAAAAATGTAAATCAAACCACAACATTTGGTGACTGTACATGTTGTGAAATCTGGAGATCTGGAAGTTATTGAGTTGCCCTGCTTCTTCAAAAGTAGCATGATTACTGTCTTGCCAAGAATTCTGCATTGAAATAAATGGAATGACATAAAGCTGTCACACTTGCATACAAGATACCCACTAAACAGAAATTTTTAGGGACTATACATCCTCACATCCTACTCCCTGTAAAGATTCCATCCCATTCTCTCCATTCCTCCATCTCCATCTTCGACAAGGGAGCCTCCGAAATGTCCACCTTCTTCTTCAACCGAGGATTCCCCAGCACCATTGTTGACAGGGCCCTCAACCGGGTCCGGCTCATCTCTCGCACTTCTGCGCTCACCCTTTCTCTTCCCTCCCGCAACAGCGATAGGGTTCCCCTTGTCCTTACCTACCAACCCACCAGCATCCACATCCACAAGATCATCAGATGCCATTTCTGCCACCTCCAGCGAGATGCCACCACCAGACATGTATTCCCCTCCCCTCCCTTGTCCACCTTCCGCAGGGACCGTTCCCTCCGGGATACCCTGGTCCACACTTCCTTCACCCCCAACATGCCCCCATAGCCCTATGGCACCTTCCCCTGTAACCAGCGAAAGTGCAACACCTGCCCATTTACCTCCTCCCTCCCCACTATCCAAGGGCCCATACCTTCCAGGTGAAGCAACACTTCACCTGCACTTCCCAGAATCTAGTCCTACTGCATTTGCTGCTCACAATGTGGTCTCCTCTACATTGGGGAAACGAAGTGTAGACTGGATGACCGCTTCGCACAACATCAATGTTCTGCTCGCAAAAAAGACCCTGAACTACCTGTTGCCTGCCACTTCAACACACCACCCTGTTCCCTGGCCAACATCTCTGTCTCTGGCTTGCTGCAGTGTTCCAGCGAACCTCAATGTGAGCTGGAAGAACAACACCTCATTTTCCGCTAGGGACCCTGCAGCCCTCCGGACTCAGTATCGAGTTCAATAATTTTAGGGCCTAAACTCTCCAATGTCCCAGCCCCCTACCCCATACACCAGGCCTTGTTATCACATAGCCTGCCATTACACACCCACCTGTTATTAGTCACCGATAGTCCCCATTAATAACTATTCACCCTCCCAGCCAGATTATCAATTCCTTTGTCTGTCCAACTGTTCTTCTCTTCTTCTCTCTCTTTAGGCTGTATCCTATCATTTACTCCCTACCCCACCCACCCTCCCTATTTTCTGCATATAAATTGACGTTTTCCCAGCCATCATCAGTTCTGAGGAAGGGTTACCAGACCCGAAATGTTAACTCTGATTTTTTCTTCACGTATGCTGCCAGACCTGCTGAACTTTTCCAGCAACTTAGTTTTTGTTCCAGAAATTGTTAGGGTTTGTGCATCCAGAGGTAAATGATCTTTTAAAGTCATATTAAGGCACAATTGCTTCTAAGTAACCATTCTGACAGTAATAAATAACTTTCATGCATAAAGTATCAGTCTTTCAGATTTTGCTTATGCTGGAGATTTAATTTAGTTTTTTTTTCTGTCTCCTATATATATTACGTACTCTATCCTCTCACATATCTTAATTTCCTTTTTTTTGTATTCTATGCATGATTTGACATTGAATTCAATGTTTTAATTTATACTTCCAATTTTGCCTCAGTGAGGATTGCATAGTCTGATTAGCAAAAGCGATACACAGTTATTTCTCCTGTACACGGGTTCTGTATTTCCTGTGGAGGATGCTTAGCTGATTTACTACTCAAACAGCTGATTTCCAATGATAAAGGTCAGAGACCAAAGTCATGTGTTGTTGACTGCAAAGTCAAGGGCCAATATCTTTCTACATATATGCTTTCTACAGCAAGCACACAACCTCTTCTTACTGTGCTTCTAAGTCAGCAAACTGCTGCTTAAAGCTGATTAATCTAGTTGACAAATTGTGCATCATGAATCTTTATGCAGATGGAGAAACTTCCAGTCATAGCAAAAATGGCACAAGTTCAGAAATCATTCCTGTGATTTTAGCCTCTATCATTTTCACAGCAGGCAGCAATGGGGGCATATTCACAGTGCGATTGCTCACGTTAAAGTGCAGCTCCCTTAGGTCTAATGTTCGCCAGTTGACTGTCCAACGCATGACTTTACATTTTAGATCTGGTTGGAGAAGTTCTAAACTTATGAGAATACCTTGGACAGGTAAGGTACCCTTTTGGATGGGGTCCTGGGACACTTTTTGCCCTTTGGTAATAGCTAAAAATAGACATGAATGTGCCTAAAATATGCATAAACATATTGCAATTGTTAGGTTCGTTGGATCTGTTATCAAAGCTTAAAAATGAGATTTCAGCTGTCACGGTATTTAAAACTCCTTCCTTCTTTTAATAAATGCCTGTAGTGTGCTTTTTCACTGTCTATTGGCATAAGCCTGAGGATTTTCATCATAGAATTAGAACTGCATGCTTGATTTCACAACCTATGATATTGCATTGGGTTGCCAGTTAGTTCACTTTGGTGGACAGCTCCAAACCATAATGTACTCTTTGAAGTGGGATTAATAGATCAAATACAACAAAAACAGAAATTACTGGTAAAGCTCAGCAGGTCTGGCAGCATCTGTGGAGAGAAATCAGAGCTAACATTTTGGATCAAGTGACCCTTCCTCAGAATGGGAGTAGTTTACTCAATTGTGTCTGGACTAGCACAGAAGATCTCCATAGGAGAATGAATTACTTGGACTTTTTGATCATTTAGGAATTTCAGAATTCAGCATTTGATCCAAGTTTTTCAGAACATGATACTTTAGCCCTAATTTTAACTCAGGTTAAAATACCAGCAAACTATTGCAGCCTCATCAACATAGCCCAGGGGAATATTAATCATGTGCAAGTCCCTGGTTAGTTTCCTACTTGAAACAGGTTTGAAATTGTGACAGGCCTTCAATAGAGAGTGGCTGTCGGAAGCACTCAAAAAAAAACAGTCCCTCATGCTTGGTCACAGATCATGGAGAGAGTGTTTAAGCAGAGCTTTGCTACAAAGAGAAGATAGGAGTGACTTAGATTTTCCTCATAATTCAGAAGAACACTCTTGGTTTGTTTCCATTTGAGAAGCTTGCAGATTTGCCATACTAACCCAGACTGGTTTACATTTTACTTTAGGCCCACATCAACCTGTTTGACTATCAACTGCCCTAGCGAGCTGCTTACTTGCATCAAACCACTTCACAAACTAACAAGCAATGGTTCAAGAAGTAGAGCTACAATTGACTTGGGGAAACTAGGGGTAGGAAATAATTGATGGTCCCGCCAATAATTTTGAGAAATAATTTTAAAAATTTGTATCTTTTGGACCCTGCTGTTATTTCAACAAGGTTCACCAGACAGAAGAATCTTACTGGCTTTACCACTGAGGTTACTGGTTAAAATAGCAGTTGATCTACATTAATAGCATTGACCCATGTTATGGACCAGACAAAACCCCCTCAAAATATTGAGAATAAAGTCTTACCTTTAACTTCTTCTTACTTCAAAGGTAAATATAAGGTACTGTCTTCCACATGCAATTCGATTGGTCAAACTACTCCATTTTATGCAAAACACAATTTGTTCAAACACTATAGTAACATACAACGAAAGGAAGAAGAACTTGGAATAACTTAACTCAATTGGAAAACGTAACATAATAATAGATTATTTTACCACTAAATACTAACTGCTGCAATATAGTAACATCCCATTAACACACACTTGGCAAAAGGCAAATTCAGAAAACAGAATTGTCTCACATGCAACTTCCAGCAGCCCAGGATGAAAAATACCAGAGAAAATTCAGACTGAGAGTGTAACAGCCGGGAGGGATTCACTGCAGCTTCCAATCCTGCTGAGACTCCAGCAACAGTTGCTGCTGGAGAAATTAAAAACCCTGGTTCTGAGAAAGCTTGACCACACCATTCAGGCTGCTTCATTATTACAACTTTTATAAAAAAAAACCCAAGGCCTCACAAGCTGCTTGCACAAATGGTTCTGGTAAGACTGCTTGGCACCTCTGCCTTAAAACTTTACTTTTTAAAAAAAAAAACTAGGACAAAATAACCTCTTAAAGCCACAGTATTGTCACATTCACAATGTATGATTTTTAAAAATAGACCTTGCGGCTTTCAAACAAATGTCGATCAGAGGTTAACATTGAACATAGCAACATGGGCAGGATTGAAATTCATTCAATCTTTAGCGCAAAATACCTTGGTTAAAGTGTCCCACATGGCATCATAATTTATGGGAGGTGTGTTGGAAGCAGAATCTTTGGCTTTAAATATAGTATCTATGAAAGTTTCTTAATTTGTCTTTAAAAACAGTTTTGAGAATTGTAAAGCTGATCATTCAAAAGCAAATTACTTTCTGTTTAGTTATGAAGCCCTAACTTGTAAATGCTTTCTTTCAGACCCAGAGATCTTAAACTTCTGGCAGACTGCCCACAATGTTATTTTGGAATCAGAACTATTTACAGATGAGCACAAGTTTTCTCCAGTACCTGGACTGATTCAGTGGCAAAGAAACATTACCAAACTAACATTGTCAGTATTGGGAATATCAGTTTCTCCACAAGCAATGTCATTGTCACCAGATGCAGTTCATAAATTGACTTCTGGAACTGCTGAAGTTCAATCCAACCTGTTGCTTTCTCATCTCCTACGTTCAGAATTTCTTGAAGTACGTTTGCTGACCCTGGAAACAGTGTTGTTGTGGCTGGAGGAGATGGATTCCAACCAGGTCAAAGAGACAAATGGGAATGTACTGTTCCTGTTATCACAAGTTGAGGACACTCTGAAAAAGCTAGCAATGCAGGAAAAACATCCAGAATGTCTTGCCAAGGTGAGGGATTATCTGATATAGCAACATGGAATATCAATGAGAAGTTCATTAGTAAATATCTCATGTATAGCTTCTGTAAATTTTACCTATAGCTTTGCAAATAAAATGAGTAAATAGCCAAAGTGTATTTACATATAAAATAAAAACTATGAATAAACTTGGTCATACTAATGCACTAATAGAATGGATCACTTTTTTAAACCAGTTAAGAATTCTATGTGAAAGCACAAGGTTAGTTGATATTGATATTTAGCTTGAAACATAAATGGAGTCTGTGTACAGTTTTATAGCTAACTACTGATATTTTAAATACTCTAGGTCCTGAAAATATTGTGCCTTCTAAATATAGAGAAACTGTTTCCCTGGATCGCGAATGCATCAGTAATGAGTGAGGCCAAACTTCTCAAGTGGATCTTGTCAATTACAGAAACTGTAAAAAACAGGTACCCTTCTAATATTTTTGAGTTTAAGATGATGATGTTGAAATTTCAGCTACTTATTAGTCTGCCACTAGCCCACATTTTAATGAAAGGTTTTAGCTTGCCCATACCACTGTGGTTGTGTATATCACCATGTTTGTTATTACGTTCAAGGACGAGTTCAGAAATGCGGAGCATCTTTGGAAAGTAGGTGTGGCATAAAGCTTAAAAATGTTATTCTCAAGAGTCTTTATTTTGCATTCAGTGAAACAGATACCATAAGAAGTTTCAGACCTTGAGTTTTATCGCAAACACTTCTGTATTGAAAATCAACTAAGGTCAGAGACAGGATTATCTGCCAATTCTACACAACTAAACTTCATGCATGACTGTTATGTTAAATGTGCATTTATGTTATCTTTATTATTGTTTGCTTTCATCCTACTACTGAAATACCCCTATCAGAGAATTTCTGAAAAACTCAGTTCACTTTTGCAAGTCAGAATGAGTCCTGGCTGTATACCAAGATGTACTCACGGGGACAGTGTCACATTTACATGCTGTGCAAGAAGAGTATGCCAAGCTTGGAACTAAAACATTGGATGCAGAAGTAAGAGCATAGAGCAAGATTATTTGGCTAATCAATGACCACACTTCAGCTTTGCCCATATCCTTAATACCTTGGGTTAAAATAAATCTGCCAGTCTTAGATTTAATATAACAATTGACATGGCATGGACCAGATGTGAGTGCCAAATCTTTTCCATCCTTTGGGTGTAGAAGTATTTCCTAACATTGCTCCTGAAAGATGTGACTCTGGCTTTTATGCTATAACATTTAACCCTGAACACCCCATTCAGCGAAAATGCTTGATAGAGAGAAATGATCAATTTCCCCTTAATATCTTGACACCTTGAGCTAAATTATTCTGTAATATTCTAAATTCCAGGGAATACATTGGTAATTTGTGCAATATTGTAGTCCAGGCATAATTATGATATGTCTATGCTGCACTCTTTCTAAGATGAATATATTCTTCCTCAGATATCATGCTCAGAACAAAACATAATCGTCCCACGAATATAAACAAAACTGAAATGTCACCAACCTGAAATATTGACTGTCTCTCTGTCTCTTTACAGGTGTTGCCAAAGCTACTGAATATTTTCAGTTTTTATCTCAGCATCCCAATGTTCACAGTATTTTGCTTTTGTTTTTCAGTTACTGCTGTGGTCTAACCAGGGCTAAAAATGGCTGTGGCATAACTCCTGTCCCTTTTGTATTCTAATCCTGTAACTATAAAGATTAGCATTCCACTAGCTTTATATTCTCTGTATCTGGCCATGATATTTTAACTATGTACATACACAGACCACAAGTCTCTTTAAACTTCCATTTTTTTAACCTTTTCACTGTTTAGAAAATATTTTGATCTCTCCTTTTCCAAGCTCAAAAGTTGTTGACCTCACTCATGCCTATGCGGAAAACCCATTTGTCACAGTTTTGCTAATTCCACATAATCACTATCTCTCTGTGATGTCATCCTTCCATTCATATTGTCATTGCCAAACTTGTGTATATGACTGTCCCCATTTCATCAAAGTCATTTATAAATATCTATAGTTGAGACCTCAAAGGATACGGTGCACCAAAGTGAAAACAAAATATTGTGGTTGTTGGAAACCTGAAATAAAATCATGAAAAGTTGGAAATACTTAGCAGGTCTGGCAACGTCTGTGGAGAGTGAAACAGTTAATGTTTCAGGCTATGGATTTTTTGTCAGAACTGAAGGAAGATTTAAATGTAGTATGTTTAATGCCTATGGAAGATCAAAGTGGGCAGGAATAAAAGGGAATGTTGATGGGGTGTATAGGAGAAGAGGTTAAATGAAAGAAAGAGTTCATGTTACAAAAGCCAAGGGAGAAGTAATGGTTGTAGGAAAGAAATAAAATATTTTGCCAGAGTGGGTGTGAGTGGCAGAATAATGAACAGCTGTGTCCAAACATAAAGATTAAAACTGGTACACACAAAAAATAGCTGAAGTTAAATGGGACTAGATTTAATGATCTGAAATTGTTGAACTCAATGTTGAGTCCAGAAGGCTATAGAGTACCTAATCAGAAGATGAGGTACTATTCTTCAAGTTTCGTTAGAACACTGCAAATTGGTGAGAGTGCAGATAGAGAGTAAGGTGGAGGTTTAAGGGGCAAGCAACTAGAAACTCAGAATCATGCTTGCATTTTATATCAGATCAGTTACCTAGTTAAGTTTAAGGATAAACAGGTTATGGGTGTTTCTTGATTAATAGTCTTTGAGCACATATTAAAAGGAGAGAAGTTGTTTGTGGCACAGTCTTATCTCTGGGCCAGAACATCTGAGTTCTGACTCCCATTTGCTTTAAATGTGTCATAACATGTGCAAACACAATCATTAAAAATTATTATTGAAAGGTGACAGCAGGACACTGGAATCTGTAATATGAGGCTCTATTACACTATAAATATGTAGAAAAAAATTATTGTTGAGAAGACCTGTGCATTTGTTCCTAATTCACTGTCAGTCTCAGATCCACTGAGGGTGTTTGCTTAAACATGAGCATTGGAAGCTGAGATTTTCTTTTTCCAGACACAAGAAGTTAACTGGAGTTACCTTTGAGAAGATAGTAACTCGAGTTATTTTTCAGAAAAGTGACTAAAACCATGAGTAACCTTATGACCAATGGATACATGAAAGGAATATGTGAACATGGGTTATGTACTTACTATGATAAAAGCAAGTTATATCTTTGGCACTGTCAACCCACAGCAGGAGGACTGCAGCAGTTCAAAAAGGCAGCTCACCACCACCATCTCAAGGGCAACTAGGGATGGGCAAGAAATGCTGGCCAGCCAGCAACGCCCACATCCCACAAATGAATAAAAAAAATCCAAGAACTAGCGGGAAAGAATGATAGTCTGTAGTCACTTTGACTGTCATTGAGTCCTACGGCACGGAGACAGGCCCTTTGGCCCAAACTGGTCCATGCAGACCAAAATGTCCATCCACACTAAGCCCATTTCCCTGCACTTGGCCCATATCCTTCTAAACCTTTCCTATCCATGTATTTGTCCAAATGCCTTTTAAATGTTGTTAATGTACCCACTTCAACCACTTCCGCTGGCAGCTCATTTCCATATGCATACCAACCTCTGTGTAAAAAAAGTTGCCCCTAAGGTTCCCATGTATTCTTTCCCCTCTTACCCTAAACTGATGCCCTCTAGTCCTCAATTCCCCAACCCTGGGAAAAAGATTGAGTACATTCACCCTATCCATGCCTCACGTGATCTTATACACTTCTATAAGACACCCCCCTCAGTCTCCTATGCTGTAAAGAAAAAAGTCCTAGCTTGTCCAACCTCTCACTATAACTTAGTCCCTTGAGTTACATTGACATCATTGACAATGCATTCCCACCCAATCAACTTGAGAGGATGTTTACTTTTGGGAAACTGCAAACATCAGTGAATAGTTGATAGGAAAGTCTTTACCTGCTGAACGGCTGACACTCTGTCCAGGAGGTTTATTCTCTGCCTGTGTTGATATCACCTTCTGGAGCTTGAGTTTGGTGCTAAACCTATAGAGCAGCAAGCAGCTGAGGAGAAGGTTGCTGTTGTTGCACCTGCTGGTCTTGCTGCAGCTGCTTCTCCCCTTGATCCTCATTTGAGTTCCCCAGTGGAGCTGCATAAGAGGTCCCTGTGCTGATCTAAAGGCTGATGACATGGAATTGTAAGGCGAAGATTTTAAAAATCCAATGCAGTAGAAATATATTTCTGTATAGCTAAAGTATTGGGGATCACCTCCAAAGCAGTGAAAGCACACAGCCAAAGGATCCTGTGAGCAAATACCCTTTAGTTAGGTAGGGAAACAACTATGTGATCGCAGTATTACAGCCTTTGTTGCCTCTCAGTAATTCAGTCCTCTTAACTCCTGTTGTCATTACTCCTGGCTTTACCCGGAAACCAAGGCAATACGTGAGTTTAGAGTTAATGTCCGTATGCTATAATAAAACAGCTGCTAATGAAAATTTATCACATATAATTTGAACCCATGTAGGATTCCTGCATGCTGAACAAAGTGTTTGTGTTAAAGGTCAAAATCATTGGGTTCCTGCCAGCTTCTTGACACACTAACAATTTCAGAAGTTTTATCTTGTTTCCTTTACAGTAACTCGCCCATCTTGACAAATTAAAATTTCCCCCCCACCCCGCCAATGTGTGGAAAATGCTTTGAAAAATAAGTAAGTAAGACAAAACTATGCCCAATAACAGCAACTTTTATTTATATGGTGCCTATAATCTGTTAAGATGCACCAAGGTTCTTCACAGGAGATTTAGATCATAGATCATAAAATCCCTACAGTGTGGAAACAGGCCCTTCGGCCCAACAAATCCACACTGACCCATAGAGCATCCCACCCAGACCCATCCACCTACAACTCGCCTAATCTACACATCCCTGAACACTATGGGCAATTTAGCATGGCCAATCCACCTACCCTGCACATCTTTAGACTGTGGGAGGAAACCGGAGCACGCAGAGGAAACCCACACAGACATGGAGAGAATGTGCAAACTCCACACAGACAGTTACCGGAGGGTGGAATAGAATCCAGGTCCCTGCTGTTGTGAGGCAGCAGTGCTAACCACTGAGCCACCATGCCGCCAAAAGTATGGTACCAAGTTAGATTAGGAGATTTTAGGTCTCGATTTTGGAATAAAGAAGTTCAGTTCTCCGACCAAGTTTTGAATGGTAAGACAAGAATCTCACTAATGAGTGGGACGAGGCCTATTTGCATCCATTTTCATGCATTAGCATTGCGTTTGTACTTGATCTCATCTCTGAGAAAGGTAGTTTCCTATTCTGCCACCTGCCAGATATAAACTAGCTGGTGACAATTCCCAAACTGACGCTCAGAGCAGTGCCTAGTTACTCTAGCGCACTGCTTGCTCTTCCATACCTCTATCTTGGACAGCAATCACCGACATCTCGGGGCATGCTCATTGACAGTGACCAACTACAGCCCCTGACCACGGAGGTTGGTGTCTGATATGCACCACCGTCAACACACCCTCATAGATCCTCATCCAGCTGACAGTATAGTTCTGCTGTTCCATATTGTAGTTTGGAGCACACCTGCACCTTTCGTTGTAATGTTGCTGCCAGGACACTTTGTGCACAGGGACAGGCACCCATTTCATGGATTTGACCAGGGTTCACCACCTCGCTTGCTGTCTTGGCACTCACTCACTTTGCACCTCGTGGTCCTTTGCCTTGTCTTTTTTCACTCTTCCCCCACCCCAGGCAGAGAGTAAAGGTTTATAGTACTT